CTTATACAATATTTATGCTGAGTGAATCATTAGAATTGGAGGAAGGCTTATTGACAACCTGCGATTTGCAGATGACACAACATTGAGGGCTGAAGCACTTGGTGGAGATCAACGATTTTAGCCTTCACTCTTGATTACAACTCAATGTAAAGAAGGCCCAGGTCTCCACAACTAAGCTGATCCGTAATATGATAAATGGAGAAAATGCTGAAGTTGCCAGGGATTTTGTCTTGCTTAGATCCAAAATCAGTGCTTATGAAAGCTTCAGTCAAGAGATCATTGAATTAAATAAATCTGCTGGTAAGACATCTTTAGAGTATTGAAAAGCAAAGATGTTACTTTGAGGAATGAGGTATGCCTAACCCAACCCATTGTATTTTCAATAGCCTCACACGCATGTGAAAGTTGGACATTGAATAATAATGAAGAAACAATGCATATGGTGCTAGCAAGGAATTTGAAAGTACCCTGGTCTGCCAAAAGAACAAATGGATCTGTCTTGGAAGAAAACAAAAAAAAATTAACTACTGCCAATAAATCAGTGCCGACTCATAGTGACCCTGTGAGACAGGGGAAGTACCCTCCCCCCACCCCAGTGAGTTCAAGAGACTGTAACTCTTAGCACATGTAAAGCAGTTGCTGGCTGGCTGGCTACGCTGACTGCTCCTGGTGATCTAAAGAGCACCCCAGAGGTTCATCCTTCATATCGTTTTCAAGACTGGTCTTTTCGGATGCAAATCTCCAGATTTTTCTTCCAAGAGTCCCTTGGATATTTTTGGTTTAAGATTAAGTTAGTAATTGCTTTTGCTATCCAAGGTGACTTCAAAAGGTTTATGGAAAAATATAATAAAAAGAGGGAGATTTTCCAGGAAATTTTAAAAAAACATATGCACGTAATGACCATGTGACAGGAACAAGTACAATTACAGACTGGCACTGGTGTTTATGCCATTATTGGCACTGCCTGACAATCCCAACCGTTGATGAAATTTCATACACTATTTTCTGATTTTCACAGTGGTTACAGTCATTATAAATTCATGTATAAATCTATGGCATATTAAAATGGAGCAGAAGCAAAACTTGCATGTCTATATAAAATGGGCATAGGTCTAATGCTTAAAAACTTATGAACATGGTTTTCCTCATCTTAACTGTTGCAGAAGGGTTCGTATGCATTCCAAACTCCTGTGGGAGAAATCTTTCTCAGCCTTGTGTATTAGTATTTGGCATCCCTTCTTTCTACCTACTATAATCAGTTATTA